TGGAAGAATTTATTTTTAAGATAATAATTATTTAGCTATACAAGTCATACTCATCAACCCATTGTAGTGGAGCAAAGATGTGGATTCATATATATATTGATCGTAATGTGTAATTGATACCCCACTTTATATCCACATTATAATTTCTGGTTTAAGCTATTTACTATTTACATTCCAACCACCTGAAGAAGGCCGAAACGTTGTGATAGATATGGCGACAAAGATGAGGACAATAGTCCGAATAATGTAAATAATGTACATAATACCTCATCTCAGAAATCTAGACACATACTGAAAGGCCGAAACGTTGTAATAAATATGGCGACAAAGATAAGGCCAATAGTCCGAATAATGTAAATAGTGTTCATAATACCTCATCTCAGAAATATAGACACATACTGAAGGGCCGAAACGTTGTAATAAATATGGCGACAAAGATGAGGACAATAGTCTGAATAATGTAAATAGTGTACATAATACCTCATCTCAGAAATATAGACAGATACTGAAAGGCCGAACGCTGTAATAAATATGGCGATAAAGATGAGGACAATAGTCCGAATAATGTAAATAATGTACATAATACCTCATCTCAGAAATATAGACAGATACTTAAATTCTTTAGAAATTCTAACATTTCACAATGGCAATGTAGGTATACAATAAGTATTATACCAGGTTTATAATAATAATAATATTGTTTCTAAGATTCATTTACGGTTTTTTTTTCTGTATACCTAATTTTGCTTCCCTTGTTATTTACTTAGGATTGTCATTTCATTTCACGATCAACTATATGAGATTTAGTTTTGTCTTTCGGTGACATTCGGGCTGTTCAAACCAAAAGGTCGTTTTTAATTTTGACAAGCGTCATACCAGGGGTTATTTTAAACAAATTATCGTCAAAATTTTTTGTCAAAATAAGCATATTCTTATTTATTGAAATTAAAACGGAAGTTAAAAAAACGAAAACAAAAAAAAAAAGAAAAAAAGAGGAGGTTTTAAAAGGAAAGAAAGAAGGGAAAGCTTAAGAAAGAAAGAAAGAAAGAAAGAAAGAAAGAAAGAAAGAAAGAATCTATGGAAGGCACGAGAAAGAAAGACAGAATCAATGGAAGGTATGAGAAAGAAAGAAAGAAAGAAAGAAAGAAAGAAAGAAAGAAAAATTAAGAAATAATCAATGCAAGGCTTGAGAAAGAAAGAAATAAAGTAAGAAAGAAAGAAGCTATGGAAGTAATTAAAAAGAAAGAAAGAATCAATGGGAGGCATAAGAAAGAAAGACAGAATCAATGGAGGGAATGAGAAAGAAAGAAAGAAAGAAAGAAAGAAAGAAAGAAAGAATCAATGGAGGGCATGGGAAAGAAAGAAAGACATAATCAATGGAAGGCATGAGAAAGAAAGAAAGAAAGAAAGAAAGAAAGAAAGAAAGAAAGAAAGACTCTATGGAAGGCATGAGAAAGAAAGAAAGACAGAATCAATGGAACTCATGGGAAAGAAAGAAAGAAAGAAAGAAAGAAAGAAAGAAAGAAATCAATGGAAGGCTTTTTTCTTTCTTAGAACTTTTTTGATCTTTTCCTTTCTTTCTTTTTCCTTCTTTTTTAACAGTTTTATTTTCATATTTTTTCTTTCTTTCTTCGAACTTTTATTTTCATCTTTTACCTTTCTTTTTCTTTATGTCTTGGAACATTTATTTTCATCTTTTTACTTTCTTTCTTTTTGCTTTCTTTCTTAGAACTTTTATTTTCATCTTTTTTCGTTCTTTTGTTTGCGTTTCTTTCTTTTTCTTTCTTTATTTCTTTCTTTCTTTCTTTCTTTCTTTCTTTCTTTCTTTATTCTTTGTTTGTTTGTTTCTTTTTTTCTTCGAACTTTTTAGTCTCTTTTCTTTCGTTTTTTTTTCTTTCCTAGAACTTTTATTTTCATCTTTTCCTTTCTTTCTTTTTTCTATCTAAGAACTATTTTTATCGTTTTTCTTTTATGTTTTTCTTTCTTTCTTATTTTATAAGAACTTTTATTTATTTTATTTTAACTTTTATTTTCTTCATTCTTTCTTTCTTTCGTTTTTTCTTTCATTCTTTTTCTGTCCTTCCTAGAACTTTTATTCGCATCTTTCTTTCTTTGTTAGAACATTTATTTCCATCTTTTCTTTCTATCTTTCTTTCTTAGAATTTTTATTTCCATCTTTTTCTTTCTTTCTTTCTTTCTTTCTTTCTTTCTTTCTTTCTTTCTTTCTTTCTTGGCACTTTTATTTTCATCTATCTTTCTTTTTTTTCTTTCTTTTCTTTCTTTCATGGAACTTTTATTTTCATCTGTCTTTCTTTTTTTCTTTTTTTCTTTCTTTCTTTCTTGGAAGTTTTCTTTCCATCTTTTTCTTTCCTGCCTAGTACTTTTATGTCCATCTTTTTTCTTTCTTTCTCAGTTTTTTCTTTTTTTTTTCTTTATAGAACCTATGTTTCCATCTTTTTTATTCTTTCTTTCTTTCTTTCTTTCTTTCTTTCTTTCTTAAAACTTTTATTTTCATCTTTCTTTCCTTCTTTGTTTCTTAGAACTTTTATTTTCATCTTTATTTCTACAAATTCTCTCATATCAAATTTTGTTAATAGGTTTGCTAGAAAATTAAACAACACTCATGGATGTATGGCACTGTCACCAGTATAACAACTCAAGCACAATATGGAACACGACCGAGATTCAGGTGGGGATCATACGTGTACATAGAGCTAGTAACAGGATTTTTCTTATTCCTTCAATTCTTCCCCTCAAGTATGTCTCAGGCTGACTCCACGAACTCCTTTGTCGATCTCAGGATGTCATAGACATATAGCTCTATTACTGATAGAATAAGATTGTCAGTGGTCAGGAATGAATGCAAGCATTACTGATAGAATAGGGCTATTATATGTATAATGGAAATGCATTGCTAATGATTTTACTATAGGAATGCATTGCAAATGAGGAAGAAAGGGATTGTCAGTGGTCAGGAATGAATGCAAGCATTACTGATAGAATAGGGCTATTATATGTATAATGTAAATGCATTGCTAATGATTTTACTATAGGAATGCATTGTAAATGAGGAAGAAAGGGATTGTCAGTGGTCAGGAATGAATGCAAGCATTACTGATAGAATAGGGCTATTATATGTATAATGGAAATGCATTGCTAATAATTTTACTATAGGAATGCATTTCAAATGAGGAAGAAAGGGATTGTCAGTGGTCAGGAATGAATGCAAGCATTACTGATAGAATAGGGCTATTATGTGTATAATGGAAATGCATTGCTAATGATTTTACTATAGGAATGCATTGCAAATGAGGAAGAAATGGATTGTCACTGGTCAGGAATGAATGCAAGCATTACTGATAGAATAGGGCTATTATATGTATAATGGAAATGCATTGCTAATGATTTTACTATAGGAATGCATTGCAAATGAGGAAGAAAGGGATTGTCAGTGGTCAGGAATGAATGCAAGCATTACTGATAGAATAGGGCTATTATATGTATAATGTAAATGCATTGCTAATGATTTTACTATAGGAATGCATTGTAAATGAGGAAGAAAGGGATTGTCAGTGGTCAGGAATGAATGCAAGCATTACTGATAGAATAGGGCTATTATATGTATAATGGAAATGCATTGCTAATAATTTTACTATAGGAATGCATTGCAAATGAGGAAGAAAGGGATTGTCAATGGTCAAGAATGAATGCAAGCATTACAGATAGAATTGGGCTATTATATGCATAATGTAAATGCATTGCTAATGATTTTACTATAGGAATGCATTGCAAATGAGAAAGAAAGGGATTGTCAGTGGTCAGGAATGAATGCAAGCATTACTGATAGAATAGGGCTATGATGCGGGTAATGATTTTATTATATAAATCTAATGTAAATGTAGAATTTAAATTTCTAATAATTGCTATTTAGAGTTTTATGCACATCAGTCGATTTTTTTCTTTTAACTTCTTCCTCTTCTTTTTGCCACGTCATTTAGTGTTGAATACGATTGCTAACACAACAAATACGCTAATGTGACGACACTGATTTTCCTATCCAATCAGCATCGGCAACGTCACACACAACACCGTCACTGGCGTTTCTTAACAATCTTCGACAAACTTTGAACACGTGGAGCATTTGGAAATTTCACAACTTTTATTTGAGATTATTTCTGGTTTTATTGTTTGAAACATTCGATAAAGGGAATTTTCTTTTTCTTTTTCTTTCTGTCTGTACGACGTGTGAAGAGCGAAATTCAACATGGCGTTTGAAGTCAAGAAAGAAGGTGAGAATGTTATTCAGTGCTATCACAACGCATGTTAAAATATTTTGTTTAAAGAGCGGAAAGTTCTAGATTGGATATATATATATATATATATATATATATATATATATATATATAATGTTTTTTTTGAAAAGCCTCGACCAAAAATGCGTAAAGTAATAACGTCTGTCAGCGACTTCGAGTAGGAATTTTTTTGAAAAGTTAGAGATGCATATGTCTCGAAGATGAGGTCGTTGTTCAGAAAATGAAACGAGATTAACGCCGATGATACGAGATGTCTGAGGCGGGTAAGACAAATTATATGTCCAAATATGGAGAGGAGATAATGGGACAATGTAGAAAAGAGTGTTTTTTTTTTTTTTTTCAATCGATGTCACCCCATGCAAAGCAGTAAAGCAACTAAGACACAAGGGGTTACAGGATGTGGAAGATTTAGGAACAGAAACATTAATAATGAGAATTAAATTAAAGATGACATTGTAGTTATTTTTTAAGATTAAAAAGAAGCATGAAGCCGGAAGTGAATACCAGAAGCGAGAATTGCGAGAGAAGAAGGTATTAGCATAGAATGTGAGAAAAAACTACTCTTCAGTAGAGAAGACAATAAAAGAACAAGAATTAAGAAGACAGAACATAAAGATTAGCATTGCATTTAAATTTTTGAAGATCAAAGGCAATAAAGCCACTAAGACGCAAGGTAGTACTGTGCATTAGAGAATATGAAAAAAAACTACTATTAAGGAGAGAGGACAATAAAAGAACAAGAATTAAGTAGACAGAATATAACGATTGACATTGCATTCAAATTTCTGAAGATCAATGGGAATAAAACCACTAGGATGCAAAGGGTTACTGATTCTTAGAGAATATGAGAAAAACTACTATTAAGGAGAGAAGACAATAAAAGAACAAGAATTAAGAAGACAGAATATAGCGATTGACATTACATTTAAATTCTTGAAGATCAAAGGGAATAAAGCCACTAGGATGCAAGGGGTTACTGAGTGTTAGAGAATATGAGAAAAGCTACTATTAAGGAGAGAGGACAATAAAAGAACAAGAATTAAGAAGACATAAGATAATGATTGACATTGCATTTAAATTTTTGAAGATCAAACTTGATTGGGAAGGAAGAAGCGGGAATAGAGTTCCACGACGAGAAGTACGCAAAAATAAACTTTAAGCATTGAAGTTACGTCTATATCTAGCCAGCTCAACTGTAAATTAATGAGATCTTGACCCCAGTTTAGTACTGCGCTTAAATTCGAGATGTCCACGTACCATCGGGAAGAGCTCATCCGAACAATTACCATGAAAGTATTTATAGAATAGACACAGAGGGGCTAACTTACGGCGGTGGGAAAGTGACTGAGGCCGAGCTGCCAGATCAGAACCAATATCATATTGCTGATTTTTTCAAATTTTGGATCTTATTTTTAAGAAGGTGTTTAATATATATGTATACGTATAAATAAAAAGAAAATAAATGTTTTTAAATCACCCCAAATCAATATTTTATTTTTTAAAAGATTTTTAACATCAGCCCATTCATATTTTTAAAAATAATTTTAAAAAATGTTTTTAAATCAGCCCATTAGCGACTGTAAAGTCCTGATAAGTTTTTTATCTAACTACTCGTAAAACGCTTTGTGAACTTTCTATATGATTATTATTTGATCCTGGTCTTGAGTTTAAAAATATAGAAATCATAAAAATTCAAAAGAAAACAGATAAAAAACAAATACATAATACTAAAAAACGATTAACGTTAGAATGAAAATTTCTAGGTCTGATTATTTGGAAAATGATTACAATTCAAGTCTAAAAATTTAACCATGGAATATTATCGTTTGAGCCTCTCTCTCTCTCTCTCTCTCTCTCATCTATTTCAAATAAAAAATATTTATATATATATATATAAAGAATATATTCCTATATATATTAACAACACTATCTTATTTACCAAAAATTAAAAAAAAAAATTTTTTTTTCCAATTTTGAGATCTCATGAATTGGACGTATTTTAAGAATTAAAATGCCTCATTAAAAATTATATATGGATATATTCGTGTTTTAAAATTATATATATATATATATATATATATATATATATATATATATATATATATATATATATAAATATATATATAAACCGTTTTTTTTTATAATTTATATCGTCTAATATCTTATATAGTGATTACAGACCGAAAGATCTTAATAAATGGTGAAAATTTTACAACAGGAAACCTATGTCTAGATTTACAATGTAATGTGATGAAAAAGTTTGAAAAAAATACCAGCTTATAAATTGCTTTTTAAAACGTAAATCCTCCAAAATCTAAAAGGAAAGGAAAAGGAAGAAATGAAAGGATAGTATGAAAATAAAATGACCATACATAAAGAATTTATATATTATATATATATATATATATATATATATATATATATATATATACATTAAATATATACAGCAAATTGAAAATGAATTTCTCTGTTATTTTTAAATAAATTAAATCTATAAAATTTCAAATTTATATAAACAAATAAAGAAATCTTAATAAAAAAATAAATATAATTATCATAATATCAAATATAAAGATGTATAAATAATAATAATAAAGATGTTAATTTAGAATTATAGATAATGAATTCATCGGCAAGACAATCATAGATTCATCTACATATAAAAAAACATTTTTTAATGATACACAATATAATCACATAATACAATATATATATACTCATGTTTCATTAAAACCGGATCAAAATAAGGGAAGCATTAAATAAATCAAAGAACCGCTGAAAATTTAAATATTTATTTCTATATTGATCATGTTATTTAAGTGATGGCAATTTCTGGAAAAAAAAATATCATCCAAATGTCTGTAATGTCTTCGGCGGCACACCTCCACTTCAGGTCAAAGTATTTAAATAAATGGATATAATCGATAATAGTTAAAAATCACTCTAATCAAAAGCAATATGCACTTTTTATCTCCATCCTCCAGCTGTTGAATTATTGAACACAAGTTTGTTGGCATAAAATGCTTAATTTGAATGACCCCCAAAGGAAGAAATCTTTAATGAAACTTGTATAAAAAGGTGTTCAATTAAAATCGCTTATTTATATATATATATATATATAACTATATATATTCAAATTATTTTCGACATCCATTTTATAATAATAGGTTACGATAAAATTTAACAC